ACAAAATGAATAATTTTTTAAATACGCAACTATGTGTTTTCTTTACACCATTTGATTTATCTCATTATTCTGTTCACAAAAGTATTAAGGTACGATAATCAAAAAGTCAACAGTTTACGAGTTATTTACCATTTTGTGTCAATATGTATCAAAATAAAGTGTAAAATATCTCGAAAACTATTGGTTTTTTGGTATCTGTACCTTAATACTTTTATATGCAAAATAATTAGAGGAATCACGTTATCTAAAAAAAAATACATAATTGCATTTAAAAAAGTGGAGGTGACCTTCATATCTTATTAGCGCCTCCACCAAAAAAACAATTATTGACATCACATTATGTGCCCCTCGAAACCAAGCAACTTTTGTTTGACACTTTTTCTTCTATTGTCAAAAACAAGTAAGTTATTCAGGTGACCGGTTTTAAATGGCCCTCCTTGTATATTTCGTGAGATTTTATATATATATATGTATAAAATCTCACGAAACGTGTATAACTTGCGACATAACGTTGTTAATTTATAAGACTATTGTCCGGTTTTAAAACTGATTAAATCTTTTACTGTGATATTTACAATTAATCAAAAATTAATTGTGTGTGAATTCATAAAGTTTAATAATTTATTTTACAATAACAAACTTGTAACGTTTTTTTTTGTATGAACATTTTTTGTAAACTAGTTATTATATAAAATTTATTATATAAAATTATATAAAAAAATATACCTAAAATTTTTATTAGACAATTCCATAAATGCCTTGTGCATTTCAAAATTTTATAACGCGAGATTATAAAGCATTTAACCAGTTTTAAAGTTGGTTAATTTCAACCAGGCGAAATTGTTACAAACAATAATGATGTCTTATCATTTAGATTTAAGAAAATTGCTCAAAAGTGAAATCCGTTCCTAGTGTTCCTAGTTGTTAATGTACATACTATATATACGAACATGTTGTATAGTATTTTCATAAAATTATACGCTCATATTTTCAGGAATGGATTGTACAAAAAAAAATAATTCAATTGACGCCTAGGAGACGATTCCATTGGCAGAGAAATATGTACAATAAATCTATACGTTAAAATATACATCAAGAGAAATATACTTATGAATACAAAACTACATCAATTTCTTTTTCTTTTATTTCTGTCCTATTTTGTAGTTGCAAAAATACTAAAATAGAGAGTGTAATTATATACATATATTTATGATAACAACTTATTACACTTATTTTTCATGATATTTAAAAAAATATATATTCTCTTTTCTTCTTATAAACTTTGAAATCAATTTTTTATAACAAAAATATCAAGACAATTATTACTTTGTTATTTATATAACAGTAGTTCAACATTTAAATTTGTAAATCAGTATTTAAGCGATCCAAAGTGAATAGGAGATTGATTCAGTAATAATGCCTTATATGCTTTAGTGATAGGCTTTTGCCAATGCATCAAAGTCACGGAGTTCTTTCTCCTGGGAGGATGTGAATCATACCGGCAGCAAAATTATGAATTATCGCATCGCGGCATGGCCATACACTAGTCCTGTTCGTAATGTGATATTCTGCGAGAACAAACATATTTACCGCGAACAAAGTGACGCATCGCGTCGTGCGCCAGATACATGACACGATACAGCAAAGTGATACAGAAATGTAATATTGTTTTTCTCACGGCACGTTGTGTGCAAAAATGCACTGGCGCGTCGCGCTATTTACTGCAGAAAATCGAATGCCGAATAAGGCATGTGGTAGAACTATTGTTTGCCAAGACATCGGCTGACGTATTTTTCTCACAATATTTCTAAAAGACAGTAAGACAAGATAAAAATATGAAAATTTGATATCAGAAGCGATACAACGCCGGATAAACACGAGAATGCAAATAGAACTTGTATTTAATTTCTCAGTTTTGATAAATTATACATATATTACTCATACCACGTGTACGACTTTGTTTTTGTATTTGTAAAGATAAAGTTGTTTTTACGTGGAGTAAAATATTTTTGACTACAAAATGCGTAAGCAGAGTCTTTTGGTATTTCTGATGTGACAATTTCTTGCTATTGTTCATGTTTTTTTAATTTTTTTTCTTCAATTATGATATCTTCTTTAACAATTTCCCGTGTGGTTTCAATGGATTGGTAGTAGAAGAAATCTAGATGGATATTGCCGTGTGAACAGCCATAAAAGTGAATTGCCACTCGTAGTATCTACAGTTTCGTTGCTTCCTACTATACGAGGTCACCGACTGTAGCATCTTCATCAATATCGACGCAGCGTTTTTTCCCTTTTTCTTCACGTGACAATGTCGAAGCATAAACTATTGCCGTTCGTTTAAGCTGATGGTGCTCTGTTCTCACTCTGACCTTCCCATTTTAACTTGCCTTCAATTTTATTTTCTTCTTGTAAGAAAAAGTTTCAATTATGAGAAGCGACAAAAGAGACGCTAAATTTTAAACTTTTTTTCTAATATCAATTGTAATAATAAAGTAATTGTAATATGAAATTAAACCAATGAGAATAAATCTAATTAAGTAAGAGAAATTCTATTTTCGATCAAAGTGGATCTTAATACTTAAATATAATTTGGTGTGAATATATGTATATGCATACATATGTGTATATCCTATTGTGCAAATCATATGTCGAATCTTTTTCAGTCGAACTTTAATTGATAAAACAATTTATTTCTCTTTTAATTTGTGTACTTAATATTATCGATGCTTTACTTTAAAAAAAATGTAAATTATGTATATTATTATATATCCGCGCACATAACACATAAATGTATTTAAAAATGTTGGGACGTTCCTGCTCCATTACAGTTTTATACTTCGCGCAATATTTCCTTATGTTTAAATATACAAAAAGTATTATTAAGTAAGTTTCGTGTGAGCTAGGATGCAAAATGTACCAGAGATTTTTTTTCAAGAAAAGACATAAATTATTTCTTTCATTAAGAGAAGTTCATTTTCTACCTTGTGCGTATTCTAAAAGCCGACTTCAACTGCG